TGTTTCGTGTCAATTTTCTTATCTTTTTCAGAGTATTTTTCTTAAAAAGAAAGACTTATGATATGCACTTTCTCACGGGATTGACCACACATAGGAGCATCACTATCCTGACTGTGTAGTAAAACAGGCAACACTGGCACCAGCACATTAACGCGACACATTTGAAAGCCTGCGGTACGACACTTTCAAATGTCCTACTAATTAATTAAATGGGATATAACCCATCACAAATAAATAAGGAATGGAACTTACAAGTTTCGTTGGTGTAAATTTCCTTGGTTTCCAGACATCTGGCCTACTTGTTTGCTTATAGCCCATCCGCAATTCAGCTAACGTGCGCCATTTTTGGATTTTATGACCTTTGTTTTTAAAGACCGTTCGCGACCGCTTACGTCCGAATATATGCATGTTGATATGGACGCGATCGGTTGTGTACACAGCTCAGCGGTAGGCTATTGCGTACGAGCGTTTTTAGAGTTTGGTATTATATTAAATACATTATACATTTCAGCCCAACTATTAGCCGACAGAGGTGGCGGAGCATTACTATATAATTCCAAAGTATAATATTCAATTTAGCAATTTTGGGGTCTTAATAATAATAATATTAATAATGATACTAATAATAAGCATTTTGAAAGTCTATCTAGAAATTTGTACGGAATAAGAGGCCTAGGTGCTTTAAACCTGCGATAAAGCAATAAATGAAAACGTCTGCGAGATAAGAAAACTACCCGTCAGATGTTGCGCAAGAGCCACGGGTCACGAGTCACGTATGTTTTCACCGGGGCCTAGACAACTCGCCACAAAAACAACCCGCCCCAAGACAGCTCGACACAATACCCTGGACATCTCGCAACAATACCCTGCACAACTTGCTACGGTCGAGTTGTCCAGGGTATTGTGGCGAGATATCCAGGGAGGGTATTGTGTCGAGTTGTTCAGGGGCGAGCTGTCTTTGTGGCGAATTGTAGCGCATGTAGAAGTCAGTGTATGGTGTGCGTAAAGTGCGCAGTTTTGATGTCATCGCAATCGAGGAGGGAATCTTGCTGCCGTCTCTGTAAAAGAAGGAGGAAAAAGGGCTTTAAAAGTTAGTTTTGAATTCTTTTTTTCTATTATAAAAATAATTTAATAATCTTAAATACTGTAAAATGTAAGACAAATATAACAACCTATGTTATGTTGTATTTGTCTTACATTTTATGATCTTAATACTAAAAAAAATCCACCCCGTGCATACCACATACATGCAGTGCTAGAGGTCCATACGCATTAGCATGGACTCTCTATGCTTTGCTGGAGTGGGGATTGACAGCAAACTGCAGCACAATACAATAACATACCGTCTCGACGGTCAGGTGCGGGCGCGCGCATGTGTTAAGTTAGCGACTTTAATCTTAGTTTATGGTTGCTAACTGAAACACACGTGTGCCCGCACCCCACCGTAGGTAGATACACTGTATGCAATTGTATTGTGCTGCAGTTTGCCGTGAATCCTGTGAGAAAGTGCATATTATAAGCCTTCGTTTTTAGGAAACATACTCTGAAAAAAAGAAAAAAAAATTGACATTAAACAGGTAACAAACATATCGACTTATAAATCATTTTGTTTATTTGAACATTTGATCAATAATTACTTCATTTTGGGTATGTTTTAGTAGGGTATCTCCACCCCGGAGTTATGGCTCAAAGTTTGGATCTACTTCTGAACTAGTAGCACCTGCCCTATACTAATAAACAGGCACCCTTGTCAGCTAGAGAATCTAGTCCAGATCTTTGGCCTGTACAACTACAAGTGGTAGTGGTACACCAAAAACAACAACAGCAAACATGCAAACATTTAATTTTTGTTTAAAAATATACAATAATTTTGTTAAAGGGTCTAGATCTAGGTCTACATGTCCATAACATGGCCATGTACTGGGGTAATTATAATTTATATTTATAAATATTATTGGCGCTTGTCCAGAACTGTGAGTGTGACCATACTTGAGCCTTGAGGAGTTGAGTTGGCTCAGCTCAGCGGGCATTTTTAAATCACTATTTGTTCAAATTTTCACTGAACTCTCATTTTTCTGCTTAATTGAATGAGAATTGATTTTACACTTGTATAATGTAGGTTCCATACAGTGATTCTTATCTATGTACACTGTAATGTTAATCGCTTCATTGAATGAGAAATTGTTTAGGTTTAATTCGGTGTTTCTTATATTCTCGCTCTCTGTTTTTTCACTTTTCAGGTGTGATCTTGAAGCGCAAACAAGCTTTTGTCAATGCTGCATGCGAAGGTGTACTGAAATGGAGTTCTTGCGAATGTCCATCCACACCAGTGACTGGGAGAAGCTCTCATAGCGTGGCTTACGTCAATGGTAAAATCTTCTTCTTTGGAGGATGCTCTGGATCAAGAACTGCTTTCAATGACATGTGGAATCTTGACCTGAGTACACGAGAATGGACTCGCGTGCTGGGTTCAGGTAATAATAATGTCTGAGAATGATGATGATAATACTACTACTACTACTACTAATAATGATAACAATGATGATGATGATGATGATGATAATAATAATTATAATAATGATAATGATGATGATGATGATGATGATAATGCTAATGCTAATGATAATTAAATAATGATATGAATGAAATGTTAATACTAATAATATTGATAACAATATTGATAACAAATAATTAGAGTAACGTCATTATAGATGTTAAGTATTGATCATTAAAGGAGTGTAGCTTGGTGAATACTGGTTAACGCTATCTACATGTAAGTCTTCTTTTGGCAACTGCAAGTAAACGAAGGGACTTGATCAAGGGTAGTCAGTGACTTAATCTCTACATGGTGAGCATTTGCGAAACAGACCAAAGTTCTCCTGATTGCTTCGGTTTCGCGAATGTTGCACGCACGTGATTGGTGCAGTTGCGTCTTCTGTAGTCGTTTACCCAATGGGCCCTGGCTCCCGAGTCAGGCCACAGGAAAGATACATACCTGTAGTCTCGTCAAGCTACACTCCCTTAATGATAAGTTTGATGATTATTGCAAATTTACATGATTTCTCTGGAAATGAAACTAATCAATTATGCATTGAAAGAGAATTTAGATTAAAATAAAAGGAGAAATGACACCGACTCCTCATATTGTATTTAGTGATAGTCTGATACATGTACAGTATATAGGGATTATTCAGAGGGATATTGAATGTTGAAAATTTGGATTACAACAAGAACTAAATATGGAAAATTCTCCTGAAACAGGTTACCGGTATGTCTATAGATCTACTGTACTGTATGATGGAGGGTGCACACTACAAACTGATGAGCTGGTACAATGTACATGTACAGTGTACATTAAATTGTACATACATGTAACACCAGACACTGGGCTTAATTTGCATTATAGATCATGATCTCCAATAGTCTTGTACATTGGATGATGTACAGCAAGGTTCATGAGAAGCCTGTAAGATAGAGACAGCAATTGAAGTCAACTTAGCTCTCTAGAGGTCATCTCAAAATATCAAAATTCATACTTAATAGGCATAAAATCATGTCTGAATATTCACAGATTTACATTTTATTTTTTCCTCCGGTTAAAATAAGGGCAACAGTACATGAATAATTTATGATTTTCACGGTCAAATGTCTTGGTTTTAAAGGAAATGGCCATTTTCCAATTACATGTACAGTACACTGAACACTACATTTGTATGTGCTTGTGCTATTAAAACAAAGACATTCATGGTTTAAACCCAATACACTACGTGCTGGAAGATGAATAGGTCTATCTCCATCAGCCCGAGTTGGCCAGATAGCCCGCTATTTTGTGATCTGGTAAATTAGCCCGAAGTTACAAATAGGGTCTTCATCAGCTTGAGAAATTTGCTCAGTGTTCAAGCATGCTGCTGTACTTGCAACAGCGTCGGAAGTCGCATCTTCCCTCCAAAAGTTTATTGACCTGCTCCTAGCATGTGCAACACTAGCATGTACAGTAACTTAAATAATCAAACAGAGTCACAGTGTCGTAAAACGTACATGTAAATGGTTATAATTTGCTGGTACTATATTTAGTATTGTATTATTTACTGTGTGTCCAAGCAAATAGAACTAGAAAATAATGTTTTGTTTGACAAAACTACATGTACAGTACATGTGTGAGAAATGTTTCCAAAATCCAAAGTAATGTTTTTTATCGATAATAGAGAGAAAACTTGTGTAAATGTTATGGCTATCATTGGACAGAAAATGCAAGTTACTTTTAATCATAAAATAGATTTCAAAGTCATATATTGGATATACATGTTTGTACATGTAACTTTATGATTAGGGTACCGTTTTTTTTAATACACGCTGTACATGTACATGTACCTGTATCAATTCAAAGCTGAAAATCTCCTGTTTTAGAACAAGACCTAAACTATAAACTATTATCTGGTAATTTTTAGTGATACACCCCTGTACATGTTCATGTACTGTAAAGTACATGTACAATGTATATGGTGAAACCTGTGTTACACCATGTACAATGTATATGGTGAAACCTGTGTTACACATGGTTTGAATCAAAAGGGTTTCTGAATCCTTTAAACAGATAATGAAGTTAACAGAATGTTCGACTGTCAATTATTAAACCATGATCAACTTTAAGGTCTCAAGGATAACCACTTTCTCCTTGGTTGTTTCCCATTCTGGTGTCTTATGATCTCTGATTCTGTTCTTTCATTGCAGGTTCATACCCTAGCCCTAAGGGATCTGCAACCATGGTCAACTACAAGGGTAACCTGATCCTCTTTGGTGTCTTATGATCTCTGATTCTGTTCTTTCATTACAGCTTCATACCCTAGCTCCAAGGGATCCAGCAACCATGGTCAACTACAAGCGTAACCTGATCCTCTTTGGTGTCTTATGATCTCTGATTCTGTTCTTTTATTGCAGGTTCATACCCTAGCCCTAAGGGATCAGCAACCATGGTCAACTACAAGGGTAACCTGGTCCTCTTTGGTGTCTTATGATCTCTGATTCTGTTCTTTCATTACAGGTTCATACCCTAGCCCTAAGGGATCAGCAACCATGGTCAACTACAAGGGTAATCTGATCCTCTTTGGTGTCTTATGATCTCTGATTCTGTTCTTTCATTACAGGTTCATACCCTAGCCCTAAGGGATCAGCAACCATGATCAACTACAAGGGTAACCTGATCCTCTTTGGTGTCTTAAATGATCTCTGATTCTGTTCTTTCATTACAGGTTCATACCCTAGCCCTAAGGGATCAGCAACCATGGTCAACTACAAGGGTAACCTGATCCTCTTTGGTGTCTTATGATCTCTGATTCTATTCTTTCATTACAGGTTCATACCCTAGCCCTAAGGGATCAGCAACCATGATCAACTACAAGGGTAACCTGATCCTCTTTGGTGTCTTAAATGATCTCTGATTCTGTTCTTTCATTACAGGTTCATACCCTAGCCCTAAGGGATCAGCAACCATGGTCAACTACGAGGGTAACCTGATCCTCTTTGGTGTCTTATGATCTCTGATTCTGTTCTTTCATTACAGGTTCATACCCTAGCCCTAAGGATCGGCAACCATGGTCAACTACAAGGGTAACCTGATCCTCTTTGGTGTCTTATGATCTCTGATTCTGATCTTTCATTACAGGTTCATACCCTAGCCTTAAGGGATTCGGGTTCAGCTAATCACAAGGCTTGTTCCTTTCTTGCTGTCCCTCTCATCCTTAATCCAAATGTATACTTTGTTATTAATTTTTCTTGTGAATTTTACCCTTTGTATCATGTTGATTTATAAATGTTTGCATGTTTTTTCTGGATATTTATGAGCAAACAAATTGAATTGAAATTGAAATTGGGATCGGCAACCATGGTCAACTACAAGGGTAACCTGATCCTCTTTGGTGTCTTATGATCTCTGATTCTGTTCTTTCATTACAGGTTCATACCCCAGCCCTAAGGGATCAGCAACCATGGTCAACTACAAGGGTAACCTGATCCTCTTTGGCGGACTTGCTCCACCTGTGCCACATCCCCCTCATCTTGCACCTCAAATTTTCAACGAGCTTCATGTCTACCGCCCTCATAAGAACAAGTGGTCTTGTGTGGCAACAAGTCCGTCACCCCCACCCATGGCAGGCCATTCTGCTAGCATTATAGGAAGCAAGATGGTGGTGTTTGGTGGACTACTGGATGGGCAACAAAGGTAGGTCAACTAGGCATGGAACATGTCTTTATTTTGATAATAGTTTCATATGGTTTTTCTTTTTATTGTGTTTCACTGTATGTCTGTTTTGTATCGACTATTGTGACCTGTCCCCATCTAGATATTGTTTACAACATTGTGCATGTAGGGAGTTCGCTGAATTTAGCGAACTCCCTGCGTGCACGCTTTTTAACATTAAACGCTGAATAATGTGAAGTAAATATCAAATTGGCAACGCAAAAAACAGTCTTTACGTGTATACTGTGTCTTCGCATTTCAGCCAGAACTAAAATTGCAAGCTCTCGTATTAAAGACTTACATGTTTTTGTCATGTAAATCGCCTTTACTAACTATCATCAGGAACATAGCAAATCGCTACTCTGGTAGCAAAATCTGACATTTCATATTTATTTTTGACCGATTTTAAAATGCCTTTTATGAGATGCAAGAAGAGTCCACTGTGCAATATTTGTTGGGTGCGAGAAGGGCCAGGGACAATTTTGGATGAATTTTAGCTTTCGTTTAAATCTGCCTCTCAGCTCCGTGCAGGCCTATGGGTGCCAGTTAAGGCTAGTACACTGTATTTGTCTGTTTTATTGGTGATTAATGAGCTAGGTAAATCTTTAAGAAAGTTAAAAATTAAACTGATTCATCTCTCGTATTTTGAGTGAACAGTGCAATTAAAAAAAGCTGTTTCAGATGTTGCATTTTCCGTGAACAATGTAAAATCTCATGTAACCCTCTCTATCGTATCCGTGTTGGAATACATTTACTAGTTTAATACTTCCAAGTGATTGTATAAAAAGAAAATATGTTTAAATTACTGTAGTGCAGGCATTCAAAAAAAAAAAATCATCAAATGACACAATCGTCACATTTTCCTTAAACACTTTTGTAATGTTCAAAGCAATTTTCATTTTGAAGTAGCAGAAAATAATAGCAGATTCTATGATTTTATCTATGAAAGATTATTGTTACTATAGTATGAAAACATTAAAAACATATGAATACCTGTATGTAAATTATGCCCCCACAGGAAAACGTTCTTTTAAATTTCAAATTCCAATCATAAATATCTTGATAATCAGACAACGGATCGGCTTGTAAAAGTCATAGGATTCCTGACTGACCTAAAGGTTTATAATTATGATTGCAGCATGAGCTACTGTACATGTAAATCCAGGATTTTGTTTAGAATCTGAGGCAAAGATACCAAATCCCTTTAATAGGCAAAGAGGATATGCCCTGCAAGCTTGCATTCATGAGCGCAATATAAAGCCCTTGAAATCTTGAAAGCCAACAGTGTATGCCCTGCAAGCTTGCAGCAAGCGTGTGGAGCTTGCAGGGGCGCAAACTAAATCTCTTGCTAGCTTGCAGGTGCACAGTCTAAAGCTCTTTTAAGCTTGCCACAAACTTATACAGGCAAGAGGATATGCCCTGCAAGCTTGCAAAATTTGCAGGGGTGCAATCTCAAGCTCTTGTAGGCTTGCAGACCAAGAGTCTTGCCAACTTTTTAACACAACCACAATTAAAGATAAATCAAATAAGTGACACCAATTACCCAGTGTTCAGTTTGTTACATAAACAGTTTTTAAAATAAAAAATGCTATATTAAACTTCTTCAAAAATTCCTTAAATTACTACAAAAAATGAAATGTTGCAAATATTTAACAAATATTTTCAAACTGTTGGTAGAGTATTTGCATAATCTCATGTGCATATACACTGTAGTACAATTTACTTTTGTGTATTTCAGATATTTGGACAAACCCTATCTATGACCAAATTATTGTCACTGTAAACGTACAGCACAAAAAGATATTACATGTAAAGTGTATGCACACTTTTAATGGTCAATAAATATCTCGAAACCTTTGATTCTTTGCTAGTTACCGGTAGGTCTAAAATACGGTATCATAATCGTTGTTTGGTTTATATATACACATACTGTATAATAATACAAATACAGATCTTAAATAGTGCATTATACCTTTGAAAAAGGCTCTCAACATGCTTTAAAGTAGACACACAAAGAAACAAAAGTGTTTTGAATTGATGCAAAACTCATATCATTGCAAAGGGGAAGCCTTACTGATCAAATACAACAACTCTCCTCTTCAAAATATGTTTGGGGCCCGCAGTAACCAACTCTCAAAAATGTTAGTTTTGAGATCCAGATTTTCTGTCCTTTGTAGAGCGTCACTATTTGTGACGTCACACATGGGACACGGCTGGCTAGCTGCAGACTGCTACACGCGCGACTCCGGTACTGAGCTGTTGTCCAGTGTGTGACGTCACTATTCAGAGCTCGCTATGCTCGTGTGTTTGGCTTACGTTCAGGGGCGTTCGGGGGTCTAAGAAGGGTCTTGAAAAGTTGCATTTTTACGCCTTTCCATGATATCTATATGATTTCTCAGCAAATTGTTCATGTTTTTCAAGAGAAAATCTTTCCATCCATATGTACATAATTATCAGTTGTAGTAATTTTTCTTTGTGTAGCTCCTTTAAAGGAATTTGGTAACTTTGTCTCTGATTCTGAAATGAAATTCCGGATTTAGCTCATGCTTCAATGATAATTATAAACCTTTAGGTCAGTCAGGAACCCCATGACTTTAACAAGCCAATCATCATTCTGATTATCAAGATAATTATGATTGGAAATCGAAATTTCATTTTTCGTTTTCCTAACGGTACCATTTTCATAACACTACAGTCTATTTGGGAAAACGAGTATGGCTAAACAGGTCACTCAAAGATTTTTACTTTTTTGAGGCACTTCTTGATCATTTTGAAGCGGAATTTTGTTAGGGCTTCAATATTACACCATATCACAGACACTGATAACACGTAGGGCCGTGCATCTCAGATTTAAGATTGTTAAATGATGCATTTGATAGGTAAACGCTGAAGGAAAATATATAAATAAGCTTGCGAGGTCGCGCAAGCTTGTACGCTTCTCTTTCGGATTGGCTAAAAAAACTGCTTCATTTGCATTTTGAAACCATGCAAGGTTGCCAGTTACAAGACTGCGAGCTTGTAAATTTCTTGACCTGCAATATATTTCCTCTGTCCTGATTGGCTGACAGATAATCTCATTTGCAAGCTAGTAACTAGCTTGTTTGCAGAGCTGAGCGGCCTTGTTTCAAGTTCGCAACCAGCTTGCACCAATTTCCTTTTTATAAGGAATACATCTTTTGACATTTTTGCCTGTTTTCAACTCGTCTTCCTTGCTTCCTCTCTGGTTTTCTTTCTTTTCATGTCATACACACTTCTTTCGTTTTCTCTACTCTTTTATCTCTCCTTGTATGCTATTTTCTGAATTTCTACTTTGATATTTCTTTTTTATTTCCCCCTCGTTTTCCACACCTTCTCTCCCTTTTTTTCTCTGCTTCTCCTCTTTCCAATCTCTGTTCATTCCCCTTGCTCTGTGATCTCTCTCTATCATTCTCTGATGATTGTGGACGAACGCACAGACAAAATGCTGCGACACAAGATTTCATTAGCTGCACTGCCTATCAGGCATATTTGTGTTCTCCTGAAGACTTGTCTTGTGATGCGTTTGGATCCTAATTGCTGAGAGAATGACGGCAATGCTTTAGGGTTGGCCTTACTCAAGGAATAGTCTCTAGAAACAGACTCTATATGACGGCAATGCTTTGGGTTGGCCTTACTCAAGGAATAGTCTCCAGAAACAGACTCTATATCACGCTTTGTAGCTCATTTGAAAGGCGTACAATGGCTCAGGGTAATGAGAGTGTAGTATCCAGACTGTGCATGCAACATTGGTCCATGCCACTTGGTCCTTTATCCAGCTTGTAAAGTTATTCCATGCCCCTCTTCTGTGTCCTTACAGTATGTGTGATGGTGTGAAATCTTATATTTCCTGCGTGCACACATGTACAGAATCAGCCAAAGATAAACAGAGACACACAATTAGCAACGTACATGTCGCTTGAATGATTAATTGTGGTAACAAATCTGCTGCTTACAATTCATAATTCTTTTCAATTCTTGAGAAAATATTAAATATGGAAATATCAGTCTTAGAAATTATGGATATTAAAGCAGGCTTTACTACTTCAGCCAGAAGGGATTAGACCACCCAGCGAGCCAGCGAGGTCACTGTGACAGGTGGCTATCTCATTAACTCAGCTCTCATTTAACATAAGAAAAAGAGTATCATGGGGGACCAACAGGCACCGATTGGGGAAGTTTTCTATATAGAGGGGGCAAGTAGCTACAAGTAGGACAGTGTGCCTTTAAAGGTACTACATGTGTCCCTTTTGCAGCCAAAGTCAAATTCTGTAGAACTTTGCAGGAATTATGAGCATGTCACGCATGTCCTATCTCTGAAATTTGAACGTAAGCAGTTTCCTAATATTCAAATTATGCAAGGAAACCCTTTTACCTTCTAGACTTCACTGTCAGACACTATTGAGTGACTGACTTTTTTGTGGTAATATTAATAAAATTAGCTGTAAAGGGTACAGGAGCATTTGCCTACATCAATAACCCAATTCTTGTAATGGCCAAAATTGAACTGATTGAATGGTTGCTCTGCACAAAGCGTACATGTACAACTGTTGGGTACAAGGGTCTGAAAATCAGACTATTACTTTAGGATTGCAAAACCCCAATACACACACATACATGTACATGTACACACACACAATCACTAAAGTTGATTCAACAACTAATGGTCGTTATTTTCCCACTTAAAGGGCCCATGACATCGAAATACAAGTGTACATGTAGTATTTCTGTTGGTGTGCAGTCCTGCATACATCTCATATTTTGAACTTCTTAATTTGTTCATAGATTATTAAATATTTTGTTAAATATTTGTTTTTCAAACTTGCTAAGCTCCACCCCCAAAACCTCCAGGTCTCATTCCCCTTGTAACATCATCTGTCAGTCATCAATGAGCTAACTTAAGAAACTAAGCAAACTGATGAAAGTTTCAATTAAATCTGGCTAAATATATTAGACAGTAGGCCTACCGGTAATGATTTTTTAAAAGTTTTAATCACTAGATATATGTACACTGTATGTATGAGTACTTCATATTGGCTGAAGCAGTACTGTCAATGTGATGTAGTGCCGGACTACTTTTTCCATCTGTTCCAACATATAAAATGACTAAAATTCAAATTTTTCCAAAAAAATCGGGGTCAGGAGGGTCTATTCTTTTTAGAGGAGATATAATAATAATATGCTATCTATAATATATTTTGAGAAGTGCCCCAAGTAACAAGAAATAACGAGAAAAAACAGAATTTAATGATATTTTTTTACACAGCAAATGAAAGAGTTACACACGCCATATATGTCAAAATCCATTGACCAAACTACCAATTTGAGAATAGCATAGACTTTAATACAGATCTCATATTTCAAATGTTCATAACATTCCTTACTACTGGTCCGATTCATTTCAAACTTTTGCCATTCTGTTTGTTATATTTCTGCATTCACAAAATCAACGTATTACAAGGGTTGGATTGCCCTTTAAGACATGTTCAATCAACAGAAGAGACTCTTGTCTAATTTTCTGTTGGATTAAAGAGACACTGGACTAAGATGGAAATTGAGTGGTTTCGTTTGATGCACTGTATAATGGGAAAGGATTCATTTCCTACTCGACCATTATTGAATGTCAAATGGAAGCACTTCTTAAATGTTACTTGCTTGTAAATATTTTTGGGATTCAAAGAGACCATGCTTCCATTATTGTATCTTCTGGCTAAAACTAGACATTCAAGATACATTGTAAATCATTCAACTCTCTATGAGTACTTCTCTGATGTACTACAATACATGTACATGTATGCTACCCTAAATTGCTGTATCTGTAAGTGTGGAGGATGGAAACAAGGATGAATGGAAAGAGTGAGAAGATGAATTGTGGGATATATAAAGGACTACCAAGAGAGGAATACAAAGGAAAAGTATATTAAAAAAAAAAAAAAATGAGAGAAATCAATGGCCAGATTTAATAGTGTTAAAGATCAAGAAAATCAAGAATTATATGATAGAAAAAAAGGCAAGGGAAATAAAGGAATAGAATAAAATATAGAAAGAATATTTTTAAAAGACTGATATTAGAGAAAGCGGTGCTGCAAAGTAGGAACTTTTTTGTATATAAATTAAAAGCAAGTGGGGTTATAAAGAAAAAAAGAAGATCTGCATGTAACAGGGACCCAACTCATGTTCACTTACGTTGTACATGTACAAACTTTATTAAATTATTAAATAACATACAGAAATGTGGGGTGTAATCCATTTATGCAATTTGAATCTTTTTATTTTTGTTAAACCAGTTCACCACATCATATAAGGAGGCTAGTATACCTAATACTTCTCGTCCGCGTGTATGCAAAAGTGTAATACCAGTATGGCTAGGAAGCCCTCAGTTGAGGATGATTGAAAATATCCCATTTGCTTGATCCCATGCAAAGTAATGGTCACGTTTATCTAGTTCACCGTAGCCAGCTTCTTTCAAGAAGATGTAATAATAGATAAACTGCTTGTATGCACTACTGATTGATTGATAATTCCATACAATACAAGTGGGAGAGTGTAAACAGCTTAATCAGATTAAATTAGCCTTTTACTTAAGGTACCAGGCTGTGGGGGAGCAATCACTAGGGAAAATCAAATATGTCCAAATATGAAACTTTGATTTTTATAATTTGTTTTTGTTTGATATCAGAATGATGAACCTGATCCACTGTCGTTTTTCAAAGAAACTGAATATTATTGTATCTTACTGGAAACTTCTAAAATGAAACATATTTCACAGAATATTAAATTTCAGACTAGGGTTTACAGGAAATATCAGAATCAAACAATATTCATTTTTTAAAGGTTGAACAAATCTTTCACATAGATAGTTGGATCAATGATAGTGATAAGCATCAATTGAATTTAGTTTCTGGGGTGACTCTGATCTATGAACATGATATCCTTCTATCACAAACCAAATCCACTATCACTATAGTGACAATACATGGACAGAAGAATAAAAGAATAACATTTAGGAATAGATGAATAAATAACCTTTTTCTTTCCCTGATTTCAATCGTCACCCAGATCCATGAATTTGATTGTAGAATCTTGTTTGGAGCCAGGATAGAGGTTTTTGTCTCGCCTGCATAGCAAAAGCGAGACAAAGGCGCCGCTTTCCCGTGACAGGGACGGCGGGGTGCACATCAAAAATTTAACCTAAAGTTAAGTTTTTGAATGTTTAATATAATTATGAAAGTATAGGTTCTTATTCTATGAAACTTAAACTAAAAGGGTTATTAAAGTATCCCCAATCATGTGAGTAGAATTTCAGGTCACAAAGTCAAGGCCAAAGGTCGTTTCAGGTCAATAAACTTAGACTATGCTTTGGCACCAACATCAAAAACTTTTGAATTTTTAATATAATTTTGAAAGTACAGTGTATACATTCCTCTTCCATGAAACTTGAACATAGGGGTTATAAAGTATCATCAATCATGTGATTTCTTTTAGGTGACAGAGTCAGGTCAAATGTAATTTCAGGTCTGCAAGCTTTAATTTTGTTGTGGCATCAACATCAAGATTTTGAATTTTTAGCATAATTTCAAAAGTGTTTGTTCAAATTCCATGAAACTTGTTCCAGGTTATCAAGTACCGGTATCACAAATTATATGACACAAATTCTAGGTCACAAAGTCATAGTCAAAGGTAATATTAGGTCAGTATATTTTGATTATGTTTTTCGCAACTTAATATAAGAATTGATAATCAATTTATGTTATTTGTTCATTTATCATTAAAGGGATCTGTTAACTTTGTCTTAGATCCTTTTTAAAAATCCTTGATTTAGCTCATGCTGCAGTGATAATAATAAACCTTTACATAGTGTAGGTCAAGCCGATCGCCTGATTAACAAGATATTTATGATTGGAAATCTAAACCAAATTTTGTGTTTGGTAAACAGTTTCATAACACTACAGTCTATTGGGGAAAAGGAGTATGGTAAACCGGTCACTCCAGGTTTTTACTTTTTTGAGGCACTTCTTGATCATTTTGAAGCACATTTTGTTTTTAGGGCTTCAATATAACACATTATTACCTATACAAGGCATTTTAGCTGCTAAATAAAAAGTCGTATTTTGCACGCTGCTCCGAACATGAAACCGGAGCGGTGAATATTTGCCAATTGCCCTCTTCCGGGTTTGCCCCGTAGACCACTGTACTAAATCAGAGGGCAATATTGAGCCATATTCCACTCTGTCTTTCAGTGCGCTTTACGCGCAGTAATCATGTAGGCGTTAAAGTGTATGCGCGGTAACAATCATTGTTATGTCACAATTACACACAGTAACAATCATTGTTACATCACAATTACATACCTGCCTGAATACCTGAAATCAGATGGACCAGCAAACAGACGGGGGTAAAAATCAAGATTGATACCAAAGTTGTATAGGCCCCTTTCAATAATTGCTTAAAAGTGCCTTGTTTTAGGTAATAATAATTATATTGACAAGGCTTCTTTCGGGGTACATCAGAAATATTGACCGCGCTAAGACCATATTGCCCTCGTCTTCGACTCGGGCAATATGATCTTAGCTTGGTCAATATATCTGATATACCCCTCAAGCCGAATCCATATAAAATAAAGATCACAGACACTGATAACACGTACATGTAGGGCCATGCATCTCAACGATTGATGCCTTTAAGGGTTAGGGTCAGGGTTGATGGGTTTGAGGATTGATACTGACTGATTCTTGCTTTCCCAACAGTTACAAGGCAAGTATATGATCCTCAATCAGGAGACATGTTATTCAGATTTGTACATGTTTCTTAAAGATTCTTCTTCTAGGAGTGATATCTACTGAAGATTTAGACTTTCTAAATATATCTCATTGGAGTCAGAAGGCAATAAATCTGTGTAATTGATAGAGTTAATGACCTACTTGCTCCAACCAGTTTTAAATGATTATCTGTGTAGTTCAATCATTCACAGTGACAGAAAGCTCTTGAATTAATGGTTGTAGAACTAGAAAAAACGATTCTTACATGCCTACTCTTGAAAGCACCATACATCTTCACCTATGTATCAAGGCTTGCTCAAATCAATTCAATCTGTTGCTCCAAACACATGGAATAAACATCCTGCATTTCTGAGAAATAGTACTACTTTCACTTGACTTCCTCAAAGGACATCTAAAAAACACATACCTCTTAAATCAGGGACACTCCATGTATCCCATAGAAGCGCATGATGCTCTATAGCCTACGTCCAATTATTATTACTTTAATAGTATATTACTATTACAATGTTTCTTAAGGATATTGCAGAATCTTGGATGATTGATGGAGACCAAATGTCATTTCCAAGGCATCCTTGAAATCTATCACAGATAAATGAGCGGGCCATGCTTTCATAGTAAAACATCTTTATCTTGTGTATGAAGGTGTGTGTATGGACATGGGATGTGGTT